GTCCCCGGCTGCGGCGGAGTCAGTCTTCTTCTTACTTTCTTCTCTCTTTTTAGATTCGGGTTTCGCTAATTTTCAGAATTTTGTTTCGAGATGAAAACTAAAAATCGAGTCGAGTTTTAATTAGTGTATGGTAAATTTTTGTACAAGACAACATCTACTAATAAAAAGAGTTAAACAAAAAAAATTGGAGTTCTCTACTTGACTTAGTAGTTGATATATAATGTTATGGACCTAAAATCCGTAAATTTTAGACGTCTAAAAAGTTTATAGTAGTAAACATCTTATAATTTTGTATTATGATTGTGAGTAGGGACACGACGTGGTTGCGATGGCAAGTCCCGAACGGTTTGTTGTTGGATTGGATATTTCCGAAAATGCTCTCAAGAAAGCTAATGAGGTTAATCATCTCAATACTTTTAGCATTCGTCTTCAAATAACAGTGAAACAATTATTCATTACTTTTGTATTACCATATAGAGTTATGGCTCATCGCCAAAGGCAAAATACTTCTCGTTCGTGGAAGAAGATGTTTTCACTTGGCGTCCTAACGAATTATTCGACTCCATCTTCGATTACGTGTGAGTTAATTAGCATATTATATAAATCTTATAAATTTAAGTAGTTGAAATCTAAATAACTAATGTAATTTTTAACAGTTTCTTCTGTGCAATTGAACCGGAGATGCGACCTGCATGGGCTAAATCCATGTATGAACTCTTAAAACCCGACGGTGAACTCATTACTCTCATGTATCCGGTATAATTAATTTTAATTTTTTAACATTTGAGCATGTAATTATATAATCATTAAGGATATGGATTAATATTTTGTGTTTGAATTAAATTAGATTACTGACCATGAAGGTGGACCTCCCTACAAAGTAGATGTCTCTACGTACGTAATTCATCTCTGAATCTTTCTTGTATACATAATGATTCTTATCTTATAACTAATTATAATATGTAGTTGCATAACTTAAGCGCTTAATATTAGCTTAAAATGTTAACTGTATTATGTATTTATTGAGGTTTTTAGGTACGAAGATGTGTTGGTTCCGGTAGGGTTTAAGGCAGTGTCTATCGAGGAGAATCCACATGCCATTGCCACTCGTAAGGTAATATACATCTCTATAACAATACACTCACATCTATCTAAGTTAATTATTATTATTGTTTTTTAATGATTTTGGTGTGTATTAGTGTACACATAAGCACAATACCATGTATACTATTACTATACATTGTAGCCATGTATAGGAAATTAGAACATGAACATACAACTTTTAACATCATAAAAAATAGGAGAATGCCATTAATTTACTTACAATTTTAAAAATTTATCGAATTTTTATATTTATCGATTTAATATACAATTCTGTTTAAGAAAAGAAAAAAAAACTAGCTAAAAACACATTTGATAATTTGTTAATATTATATAAGCATTTTGTCATTGCACTGAACACAAATGTAATTACGATTTACTAGTGTTTTTTTTATACCGAATATCGTTAAACTACTCTATTATTTATCTGGACGGTTATAAATCAAACATTTTTGTGTAAAATACTATAAATAATTCATAAAACTTAGTCTACTTTAACTGCATTTCAAAACACATAATTGATAATATTTGTTTTGTTTTGAAAATAAACAGGGCAAAGAGAAGCTTGGGAGGTGGAAGAAGATCAACTGATCTAAGAAAAATAGTATTATATGTGTAATAATCTACTAATCTATTAAGAATAAATTGATTATCTTTACTTTATATCTCTGAATGTAATGATTATTAATAATAATGTCTCTCTTCAGTATCATCCACACTGACAAGAACACTTAGAGCATGCTTAACTCTGATACTTTAAGAGTATCATTAAACAAAAAACAGATAAAAAAATTAATTATTAAAACAACTTTTTTTGTGAAACGTGTCAGTGGAAAGATTGGTGAAACGTTTCATCAATAATTTCACTAAATTTAATAATAAATTAATGTTTGAGAAACTTTCACAATTTCACCTTTAAACATGTTCTTAATCCTGTTCATTTCGGAAAACAAGACGGAAAATTGTAGGAAAGGGACGGTAATGAGTAAGTCAGGAAATGAAAAACACTACCTAAAGTATTTCTACCAAAAATCGGCAAGGGAAGTTAGGATAACGGGAAGGATTCGGGAAATTCTCTTAGTTAAAATCTTTTCACAAACTTTTAGTAATCCGAAAAATTTAAAGAAATTAATTTTTTAGTTTTTTTAAGAAAGTAGAAAAATTGAAGGGAAAATCTAGAATTTTAGAGAAAATTCGAGAAATTTAGGAATAATCATTAAAAAAAAATAAGGGAAATTCGGGTATTTTATTTGATACCCTTTCCCTTTTTTTATCCATTTGCATAAAATAATCGGATAATTATTTAAACGAGAACGGAAATTTCGAGACGGATACAGGTCCGGTCGGGGTTGCCTTCCCAAAATGGAAAGGGCTACTTACACTTAACTAAAATAAAAACAAAAAAATAAACATTAATTTAATTAGAGACTATAATTAATCTAACATAATTTAATTTCAATTAGAGAAATTTTAAGTGTATTATACAGAGTGCAAGAGAAGGAGAGAAGAAGGCGCGTAAAATTGCAGAGAAATCGGAAATATTCTCCGATGAAAACAAACTCTCTCTTCTCCAATGTTTCCTCCGAACACTCCGCTCCA